GGCGGGTCGAGCGGGCGTGTCGTTGAAGCGTGAATCTTGCTTGAACAACGAGGCAATTTGTTGGGGGGCTGCGATTCCTGAGTGTCGAAACCCAGAGAGAACGAACAACCCAGGAACACAGGAAACCCAGGACAAATTGTGAGGAAATATCAAACGAAACCCTTCGGTGGTAAATTGCGAGGAAGTCCCAAGCGAGAACGCGATTCTATGATACGATGCCGTCGTACATGTTGAGGAAGTTTCAGGCGGGAGCCGCGGTTCGGTGGTAAATTGCCAGGAAGTCCAAAGCGAGAGCGCGATTCTTTTATAAATTGTGAGGAAGTCTCAGGCGGGAGCCGTTGTTGTTGTAGCCCGGGGGAGCAACAACGCAGCTTGACCCGGACTAAATTGTGACGAAATCTCAAGCGAGAGCACTGTTCTTAAGTAGAGTGGAAGGAAATCTCAGACGGGAAGGGGGGCCTGCGTAAATCTGGAGGAAGTCTCAGGCGGGGGGGGGCCGTTGTTGTTGTAGTCCGGGGGTGCCAGGGGCCCAGTCAAACCACCAAAACCTTCCCTCTCAAAAAACAAGGTGCGAGCGTCGAAGGGCACACTTTGGTTGAGAAAATTCGATGCGTTAGTGAAGGGGGATCAACAATACATTTTTTTTCAAAAGTAAAAGAACAACAACAACTATTACTACTACGACGAGTACGACTACTACGACTACCACTACCACTACCACTACCACTACCACTACTACTACTACTACTACTACTACTACTACTACTACTACTACTACTACTACTACTACTACTACTACTACTACTACTACTACTACTACTACTACTACTACTACTACTACTACTACTACTACTACTACTACTACTACTACTACTACTACTACTACTACTACTACTACTACTACTACTACTACTACTACTACTACTACTACTACTACTACTACTACTACTACTACTACTACGACTACTACGACTACGACTACTACGACTACTACTACTACTACTACTACTACTACTACTACTACTACTACTACTACTACTACTACTACGACTACTACTTACTACTACTACTACTACTACTACTACTACTACTACTACTACGACTATTACTACTACTACTACTACTACTACTACTACTACGACTACTACTACTACTACTACTACTACTACTTCCTACTACGATTAGTCTTACTAGCATTACTACTACTACTACTACTACTACTACTACTACTACTACTACTACTAGTACTACTACTAGTACTACTACTACTACTACTACCACTACTACTACTAGGGTCACACCTGACTTATGGCCGGTGAAATTTGGGTTTGGGTTTGGGTTTGGGTTTGGGTTTGTTTGTTTTCATTGTTTTAATTAGTTTTCAATTGAAAACCAATGGTGTGGCTCCGTTTTCTATTGGAAACCCATGGCTTTAATTAGTTGTCTATTGGAAACCAATGGTTTGTATTAGTTGTTCCTATTGGGAGGCAATTGTTTTAATTAGTTTTCTAGTCGAAACCAATTGTTTAAATTACTTGTCGATCGGAAACCAATGTTTTTCCGTAAGTTTTCTATTTGAAACCAATGGTTTTACTTAGTTCTCTATTGGAAACCATTTTTCTTTATTAGTCTTCGATTGGAAACCAATGGTTTCAATTCGTTGTCTATTGGAAACCAATTGTTTTGATTAGTGTTCTATTGGAAAGTAATAGTAGTTATTAGTTTTTTATTGGAAGCAAATGGTTTTTTTAATTAGTTTTCTATTGGGAACCTTTTTTTGTTTATTACTAGTTTTCTCTATTGGAAACCGATGACTTTAATTAGTTCCCCAGTGGGAGCCAATGGTTTTAAGTAGTTTTTTATTTGAAACCAATGGCTTTACTTAGTTTTGTATTGGAAACAAATTGTTTCTATCAGTTTTCTATGTGCAACCAATGGTTCTAATTTGTTTCCCATTGGGAACTAATTGTTTGCATTCGTTTCCTACTGGAAACCAATGTTTTTTGTTGTTGTTTTAGTTTTCTATTGGAAACCAATGGTTTTCATTAGTTTTCTAGGATACCTTAGGATTCCTGGAGACTTCCTTGGGATTCCTGGGGACTTCCTTAGGATTCCAGGAGACTTGGGATTCTTGGAGACTTCCTGAAGATTCTTTGAGAATTTCTAAGGAATCCATACGAATTCCTCCGGATTCCTGGGGAATCCCCATGGCATCTCAAGGATTCTTTAGGATTCGTCAGGGATTCCTTCAGATTCCTGGAGGCTGCCTCAGATCTCCTGGTGAATTCCTGGGGATTCCTCAGAGATTCCTTAGGACCCCTCCGAGATTCCTTCGGATTCCGCTGAAATTCCTTGGGATTCCTGTTGAATTCCTTGGGTTTCCTGAAGAATTCCTAAGGATTCCTGAAGAATTCCTTGGGATTCCTGGAGACTTCCTTAAAGATTCCTGAGAATCCCTGAGGTTTCCTGGAGGCTTCCTTGGGATTCCCTAGGGGTTCCC